TCAAATTTAAGTTGCCCATTATTAGTGTGTATTTTTTATTAGTGTCAAATTGCGATTTTTCACAACGAATAAATTGGAATGGTATGTTCGATAACAGTTCAAGAAATGTTTGACGTATCCTGAAATCGTGTAATATTGGTTGCATACAATTCCACGAATTGACGGTTTTCTCTTCATAGCATGAGCTAGGTACAATGCGAAATTTCATCAAATGTTGACGTTTTAGATCATTTTAAGCAACTTTTAAAAAATAAATTTTTCCCGTCTGTAAGTGCGTACATATGTTGGCAATTTTTGGTTTCAGCTAGGAAGCTATTCTGTCAAGAATTTGACACCTGGTTATTCCTTCTTATTGCGAACCAATGACATTAGAAGAGGCGCACACGCGTATTCTTTATTTATTATTTTATCTTGATAACCTAAAATAAAACAAGTATGAGGTGTTGTTTTATGAAGTTATGAAAGCAAAAAGCAAAAATCTCCGTAAATCCCCATGTGCGGTCGAAAAGTATAGGAATATCACATTTTTTATTATTGAAAATGTACTTTACACATTTTATTTTCGTGATACCTACTGTTCAATATTTTAAGCGTCTGCGTTTCTATTTCAATACGTGTTATCTGTGTCTGTGTGTAGTTATGGGAGTTCTGATGGTTTTTAAAAAAATTATTTTGTGTTATCTGTACATGTAGTTGTTAGGTACGATTATTTATTTTATATAGTATATTATATTGTAAATTGCCCTAGGCGTAAATAAACATTATTATTATATTATTTGCACAACCACTTTTCCAAAATAGTATATTAGTATACCTATTTAGAAAACGATAATCAAGTATTTATAAAAGTATCAAAACTTTAGATTCCTGATAACAGAATCTAAAATTCCCGAATTATTCTGTAAAAAGTAACGGTAAATCGTCAGATGAAACTGTCGCGTCTGTAAATACAGTGAATAATGCCATAGAGTAAATAAGGTTTACTCTATGCTCATACTATAAATATGTAACGGTTTCGAATTACTACCTACACCATGGAGTACAGTTGCTGTTGCAACTTTCATGAATGATGACGTAATTTCATTTAAAGCTCAGCTTTGAAATATCTTAAGCTCTTCCTAAAGGCTCCTATAAATGAATAAAGAATACCAGGGAGGAGCATTACTAGTATAACAAGTCTCTGTTTATAATTGTATCCTTCTACAACGGTAAGATAGGTACGCCACTGGAACAGGAAACTACTGTCCGCCATTTGCAAAAGTCAATTCTCCTTCCTGGTATTCTTTAATTCATTGGCTCCTATAGACGGATATAACAGATTCGAATACAGTAACCAGCATTTGTCACTAGATAGCAGCACTGCATGGGCATAATTGTTATTAAACCAACATTCCCTATCCCGTGGCATCTCTAAACGTTGTTTACTCTATGATAATGCATACTTGCCGTTGTAAGTAGTATTATCTTTGCCATTTTGAAGTGTTGTCTCTCTTTTGTAACAAGGTCATTAAAGTATAGTTATCTATCGTGACTCTCACTTAGTTCAGGTATAAACCTTCAATTTATCCATTTTAGTTCGCCATAATACCGTTAGGTACCACCACTTTCTCAGCGCTCGCTGTTGAATGCGTTGCCCGTTGGCCTACTTCTAATAAATATACAATGATAGTACCGTCGCTTTTTATGAAGAATTAACCTTCAATTTCTTTTTTAATTGTAAAAATAATGGTAGCTTTGGAATATAAAAGTTTAAACGGTACACCAAAAATAAGTACGTAGACGCAACTTTGATCCGCTTACTGCTATCCAAGTTGTCGCGGTCAGGATATTACAAAAATAATTTATTTCTGTTTTGACACCTTAGACCTGTCGGTTTACGGTTTAGTCGATTTTCGTACAATTCGGCCATTTAAGCCTGAATGTTTCGATAAAAAAGTAGTTTGTACGAAACAAAAGCACAAGACCAAGTATTTTTAATTTTTAAATTTTCATTGCTCTGCTACCTAATTCACCACGTCACTACTTGCCTAGTTTTGCGAGTATTGTAATGAAAAAGCAAATAGTTTCAATTAGAATTTATTTACACTGTCTCCGATGCATCTTTGTAATCGTACCTTTTATTTAAAAACTGAAAACATTTTCTGGCCTTTCTATAATCAGTGTTTTTATATTCCATATATTTATTATCTATCTTTATTCACGATCATATTGTAATCAGTCTCATAATTGTCATTTTGAAGGATAAGGAAGTTGTGTTTTACAACACTTATTTTTCCAGGAGGGAGGAAAGTAGATTCTCGAGGTTAGTAATGTTCGATTCGAGGTTAGTAATATTTCATTACCTACCTCGATTTAGTTGCTAATATCCTAATGGATGGCGCTCTCATCGTAACTGTCTGACACAGATGACAGCTGATTAAGATGCGAATTGTTCAAAACCGCATTTTAAAAACAATTCTTATTCTTATTATGAGTAATATGGATTATTTTAAGTTCTGTGCTTTTTTTTGTAAATTGCAAATGAACGACCAAACGCGAAAAAGTGAAATAAGTAAATGCGGACCGAAGTAAACACAAGTAGGAGTCGTGATTAACTTTAGCCAGATTACGGAAGATGATGGTTTGTTTCACGTAACCTAAAACTAAACGAGCGCGGTGCTAAATGGTTAAGTAAAAACAAAAGCAAAAAGAAACCGTTAATTATTAAAGGATCGGTAAGTATATAAAACTCGAACTTGAATTTAATGAAATTGATTGTTACTTTAGAGAGCCCATTACTGTTTAAATTTCTGCGTGGAAAAGTTCAATTCTTGTCTATAAGACATGGAAACATTGGGTTGCGCTTGCGACCCATGAGAAGAGCAAGGGATGGCAATTTATGGCATCATATTGCATATCGGAGACATCGTAGCACTACTTGAAGAGGATACTGCCATACTTTGTTATTTCCGCGTGCCCGTAAAGCGAATGGGCCACTGAATTGGCGACGAAACCTCCTGCTACTGCAGCCAATCTACAGCCACCGAACTGTTTTAAGTTGAAGAAATCCACTGGCACTTGCTAATATTGTAGCGATCATATGCCAAAAACAATGTCCGGTAATTAAATGTAATTTGTCACATTTTAGAAATAGATAGTGCTATTTTTTAGGGCTATCGTATTAGAACAGGTGTGACTACCTGATTGGATCTGGAGAATAAATCTTTCGTTATTGACATCTGCACAGATTATAATACTAATATTGTAACCCAGTCTAAATCTGTAATCACAAAAGATCGCTGTAGGTACATTTTAGAATAGGTAATAAAACTGACATGGTCATTAGGCATTACCTACCGCATTAGGTTTGAATGTGGATCACAACATTATTTGGTCGTTCATAATGTGGATGATTTCTTTACCTTTACCTCATTAAAATAAGCAAGTAAAACATGAAGTTTTACCTATACCCTTTCCTGCCCACCATTGTTCATTCACTTCAAAAATTCATTCGGGGAGTAAATTTTTTTACTACACTCAATTTCCCTTATTTGAGGGGATGTACATTGAAATTCTTTAGTATGGGCCATATTTTAACATGCATGTTAAATTAATATGAATATTAATTAGGTAAATTTCCAAATCTGTATTACCGACAACATTTTATGTAGGGCAATAATATTGCAGATGGCGCATAAGATGAATATAATACTTATAAATTTAGTGAATTATTTTATTTTTGATAATGGAATGATTATAATGATGATCGTGAATAAAATCGTATACGAACCTCGACGAAAGGTTATTTTTCTTAGAATATAATCACCCTCGGCGCTGCGCGCCTCGGGTGATTAAAATTCTTCGAAAAATAACCTACTTTCGCACTCAGTGCGTAATATACTATTATGCCTTGATCTCCACGATAAAAATCGTATCTGTGGATTACAGTGACTTTATAAGTAAAAAAAAAAGTAAAAAAAAGTCACTGTAGGGATGTTTAAAATCACTAGATATAGAAAGTACCGCAATCATTGCCATTTTCGGGCATAATTTGCTGCCAACAAAATTGACAATTAAAATCTGAATAGCTGTTATTTTTTTATAACCTAACTTTGCATAGCACTGTCATGTATATACAGGAAAGGGCACTTATATCAATCGATTTTTCGTCTCTGGGCCCTGCAATGAAACAAGCACAAAATATTATTCTGACTACTTCCAAGAATGGTTAAAAACAATAAATTAAACAAATATATCAAACGAGCTCCTGAGTATGGCTATAGCATGTGCAAAACCAAATTTTAAACCTGATGTTAGTTTTGCTTTTATTTAAAATGTATGAAATTTCATTTGAATGCCTCCATAAATAAGCTGCGCATGCGTAAAACCAAATTTTGAAACTGATGTTAAATTTTTTTTATTCCAAGTGGTTATGTACCAAATTTCATTTAAATCCTCCTATAAATCAGAAAGTTGTCACTGCGCATGCGCAAAACCAAATTTTGAAACTGGCGTTAAATTTGGTTTTATTCCAAGTGCCTATGTACCTATCAAATTTTATTTAATTGCCTCCATAAATAAGGAAGTTCGCACTGCGCATGCGCAAAACCATATTTTGAAACTGGCATTAAATTTACTTTTATTCCAAGTGGCTATGTATCAAATTTCATTTAAATACCTTCATAAATAAAGTTTGCAATTTGGTCTGTAAATGGTTGAGATGCGCAAAGGGCAGTGTGAATGCTGATCGATTAGGTTCAACTTTTGGAATTGTGTTTTATATGGCTAAAGCTATGCGCATATTGAATTTCATGCAATTCGGTTCATAACTAACGGAGATTTCAAAAGGGCCTACTTTATTTTTTGGGCTACATTGCCAATTCACGAACTCCGATCTACAAATTTGATAAAGGATCCACCTGCAAAATTTCATCGTAACGGTCTATTCATTTATGAGTTATCGTGCTAACGGACGGACGGACGGACGGACAGGCACAACAAAATTATAAACTCGCAGGTGTGGTGTATGCAACTAATCATACACTAAAGTATTGTAATGTCTATGTACATATTGTATCAATGTTCAATGTGAATAAACCAGTTCGTATTTGACTAACAAAGAGACATGACATGGCGCAGTCACGAACCTAAATTTAATTGATAAATCAAGTTATATGAATGAAAATTGAAGCAGAGAAATTAAAAATGGACTCAAATGAAAAACTACGACCTATGAAATTAAGTGGAAACCTAGCCGAAAATTGGAAAAGTTGGATACAGCGATTCGAAATATATTCAACAGCAACAGAGTTAGATGGCAAGGACCAGAAGATCCAATGCGCACAAATGCTTCATCACATGGGTGAGGACGCCATTAACATTTTCAACAGTTTCACGTTTGCAGATAACGAGAAAAATAAAATTGCCTCCCTCAAGGAAAAGTTCGCAAATTACTTTGTTCCAAAAACAAATGTCACGTATGAACGCTACAAATTTTTTACTTCGAGACAAAATGAGGAACCGCTGGAACAATTCATCACAAATCTGAAAAACCAAGCTCAACTATGCAATTTGGGTGAAGAGGCATTAAGGAACGAATTAATAAAAACTATGTTAATAATTGGAATCAAGGACGAAGCTGTCAGGGAAAAACTACTACAAAAGGAAGACTTGACATTAGACAAGGCCATTGAATGTTGTATCGTAACGGAGAGTTCCCGCCAACAACTTCGAGACATGAAACAAAATACATCGTCACAGTCCCAAGGAGTGAACGAGATCGACAGCATTAGAAGGACCACAAGAACAATGGAATCAAACTCACGTGCCAATAAGGAGACGAAGTCACGGTTTGATAACAAAGACCAATTTAAAAAAGTAAGTAATTGTACAAGATGTGGTAAAAATCACTCAATTAATAACTGTTCTGCTTATGGTGCCTTATGCAATAATTGCAAAAAACCAAATCATTTTGCAAATGTCTGTAAATATAAATCACATAGAAATAGGAAAATAAATGAAATTGTTGATCATGATAATTACGAACAAAGTCTGTTGATAAATGAAATTAGTAACAATTCAAAAATTAATAATTGTACTATAGAACTGATTGTAAATAACAAAGTCAATGTGTTTGTCAATTTTAAAGTGGACACTGGTGCTAATGCAAACATAATTTCACTAGACCAATTGAAAAGTATTGAATTTAATGAAAAAAGCATTCAAAGATCGCATGAAATTTTATTAACTTTTACAGGTCAGAAAATTCCGATTGTAGGTAAATGCTATTTACATCTTAGACTAAAAGACAAATTAATTAAAAATGTTGAATTCCATATTCACAAAGGCAATGGGTCGATTATTGGTATAAACGCTTGTGTTGAGTTAGACATAATCAAATTTCACGAGGAGGTTAAATTAAAAGAAATTTATGCCATAAATAAAAATTGTAATTCAGGATACGAAAAGCTAATTAACGATAATTCAAATTTATTTAAAGGAATAGGGAAAGTAGGGAGACCCTACCACATTGAACTAAATGAAAATGCAATGCCAGTTGTTAAGCCTATCAGAAATGTACCTTTTGCGATTCAAGAACAATTTAAAAAACACTTGAACGAATTGGTAAATTTAAAAATAATCGAACGAGTTGAAGGAAGTTCTGAGTGGGTAAATTCCTACGTCATTGTAAGGAAAAATAACGGTTCTCTACGAATTTGCCTTGATCCAAAAAACTTAAATGAGTCCATCAAAGATTCAAAATATAAATTAACAAGTTTAGACGACATAATTTCAAACATTAATGGTTCCACAGTTTTTACACTATTAGATGCTACAAGTGGTTTTTGGAATATACCTCTTGATAAGGAGTCAAGTAAACTATGCACATTTGCAACGCCTTTTGGCAGGTACAAGTTTTTAAGAATGCCTTTCGGTATAAAAACCGCTAGTGAAGTATTTCAGGAACGATTCCAAGAAATATTCGCGGATAACGGAGTGCAGGTATACATTGATGATATTTTAGTGCACGGTAAAGACAAACAGGAACATGACGAGCGTCTAAAAAACGTGTTCAGAAAAGCACATGAGCAAAATGTAAAATTTAACTTAAGTAAGTGTAGATTTGGAGTAGGGGAAATTAAATACTTAGGGTATAAATTCTCGAGTGAAGGGATAATGATAGATGAAGAAAAAATTGATGCTATAAAAAATATGCCTCAACCTAAAAATAAAAAAGACATACAAAGATTCCTAGGTTTTATCACGTATGTTGGTAGATTCATAGAAAATTTGTCAGAAAAAACTCAACCACTTAGGGAAATTATCAAACAAGAAAATTTATTTGAATGGGGCGAACCACAAAATAAAGCATTTGTAGAATTAAAAAATTTAGTAATCAAAGAACCTATACTGAGATATTATAATCCTAAAAAACCAATTACATTATCGGTAGATGCATCAAAATCCGGTTTAGGTGCAGTACTATTACAAGATAACCAACCTTGTGCATACGCATCACGTGCTATGACAACAACACAACAGAACTATGCTCAGATCGAAAAAGAATTATTAGCTATTGTATTTGGTGTAAACAAATTCCATCAGTACGTTTACGGAACTAAATTCATAGTAGAAACGGATCACAAACCGTTAATAGCAATTTTCAAAAAACCATTAAATGCGTGCCCTGCAAGACTTCAACGTATGTTATTATCCTTACAAAAATATCAGATTCACCTAATCTACAAACCAGGAAAAGATCTGATAATTGCAGACACTTTGTCACGTGCTAATTCAAGTAAGACATTTGACGATAATTTAGATCTTGAAGCTCAGGTATGCTTAATTCAAAAGAAATTAATAATAACTGATAATCGGGTAGCACAGTTAGTAAAAGAAGTCAGTAAAGATGAAGAACTTCAATCAATTAAAAAATATGTAGTAAACGGTTGGCCAAGTATTAGTAAAATTCCAAGTAATATAAAACCGTATCATAAATTAAAAGCCGAAATAACGCTAGGTACCAACGGTTTAATTTATATGTCACAGAGAGTCATTATTCCGCAATCGTGGAGAAGCAAAATCCTAGACGACATACACACAGGTCACTTAGGTATAAACAAATGCATTTCTCGTGCAAAATCATCTGTTTATTGGCCTAACATGAACTCGCACATTGAAACTCTTGTAAATAAATGCGAGATGTGTAATAGACATGCGAACTCAAATAAACGAGAACCGATGATTTCACACGAAATAATTAAAAAACCATGGCAAAAAGTGGGCATTGACTTATATGAAGTATCTGGAAAAATTTATCTAATTGTAGTAGACTACTACTCAAAATTTCCAGAAATCTCGAATCTTCAAAAAAATTTAACATCTAGTAACATAATTAACAAATTAAAAGCAATTTTTGCAAGACATGGAATCCCAAAAATAGTCGTTTCCGACAGTGCAAAACAATTCACAGGCATTGAATTTCAAAATTTTAGTAAACAGTGGAATTTTTTATCAATAAAATCCTCTCCGCATCACCAACAGTCAAATGGACAAACGGAGAGAACCATTCAAACAATAAAAAAATTAATTAAGAAATCAACTGAAAATAATGAAGATATTTATCTAGCATTATTAGCTTTCCGTAACACTCCTGTTTACAATTCTTATACACCATCTCAAATTTTAATGTCCCGATACCTCAGAGACAACTTGTTAATAATTGATTCAAAGTTAAATCCAAAATTAATTAACAACACAAAACTTAATCAGAAAATTAGTAACTCTCAATCGTACAACAAAAAGCAATATGATAGTAAAGGTGTAAGACCGAGACAAGATTTTAAAATCGGCACAGCTGTTTGGTATCAATTAAAACCCAAAAGCCTATGGGAAAAGGGTAAAATAGTAGACAAACTTAGTAATACAACTTACAAAGTGCAGACATTAGATGGTAAGGTGTTAATTAGAAATAGATTTTATATTAGACAATGTCACACAAATAATGTAGAAAATAAGGATAAGTATTATTCAAATTTTGTATATTAATTTGATGATGACAATTTAGATTCACATCAAAATGTAATTAGTAATAAGGATAGCGATCATTCTAAACCAAGTGTAAGTGCAAGTGACGAGAGAAGCAAAAGACAAATTAGACTACCACCTGCTCTAAATGATTATGTTCTTTATAAATAAGGGAGATGTGGTGTATGCAACCAATCATACACTAAAGTATTGTAATGTCTATGTACATATTGTATCAATGTTCAATGTGAATAAACCAGTTCGTATTTGACTATTAAAGAGACATGACACTAGGATTTAAATTTAATGCCTGCAACTTATTGTACCTATATGTAAGTGTTAAGCTCGCCATACACGATGCTGTTTACCGGACGGCAGGCCCTTCGATTTGCAAACTCGAAGACTAAACCTGTACATACTCTTGGTTTAGCCATATACTATACGTTTTATTCGCATGGTTTTTGTCAGTTTTTAGTGTAGTGTGAACAAAACAGGGCTGTAGCCATGATCTCTGAAGATGATCTTATGTTAATACTTAATAGGACTCCCACTTCCCAGTTTGTTGCCTGACAAGCAGAAGAAAATAAAGTGCACACGTTCGAAAAAAAAAGCTTTTTGACAATTTGGTAACTTTTATTCTTAATTTATTGGGAACACCGCCCCAAGTTGTAACTCGTACCATTTACGTGTAATCATTTTCGCTCGTTCCTTCTGGTCGTGTTTTTGATGATATACCAATTAATATATTAATAAATACACAACTGTATCTGTACAATAATTCTGAAAATTCAAAAAGTGGGGGCCAACTATACGCCCAAATTTTTGAATTTTGAATAATTAAGTAACAATCAACCAACAAACGTAAAATGTAACTAATAAACACCAACAAATGACCAACAAGCAATTGTAATAAAAATATTAGGATAATTCAAAAAGCGGGAGGCTAATTATACGCCCAAATTTTGAAATTTGAATAATTTAATAACAATCATCCAACAAACGTGAAAATGTAACTAAGAAACACCAACAAACGATTGTAATAAAAATATTTTGAAAATTTAAAAAGTGAGGGGCTAACTTGATTTTGATGGTTTTGATGCTTTATTGTAGAGATTCTAAAAAATATTTTTTATTTATTTGCCTTTATTTTTTAGTCATGTATCAAGTTTGAAACAATTATCATATCACAAAACATAAGAGAGAAAACGCAAAATACGAGAAAAAAATTAAAACTTTGTCACCCTGTATCACGAAAATGACGCCCTTTAGACCACGTACATATTTGCATTTTATTCTTATTTTAACGAGTGCTATCACCCCCTGTATCTTCGGAAATATCTGCATGACATTAATTAACACTCTGTATTTTTAAAAACATGCTTGCCAAAAGTTCCCATTATACAGACTTCAGCGAGGCGGGTAGAGGCGCAAATTATAGTGCTTGCTTACATGTAGCTTTTACTTTGAGCCGGCCCTGGTGACGACTTTATGGTACTACGCGATCGAACCTCATCTCAAACAACAGAGTTTCCAGACCTGTGTATACGACCGTGTTTCTGTTCAAAGTTTGTGTAGGTACAAACATCCGCTAAAATAGAAGTCGTACCAAAAGTGTAAAACTTGATACGTTATAAACGTCTGGTAATGCGAACTCTGCAGACACCCCGTATTATGATGCACTTCGCGCAAATTATAAATAAAGGTAAAAAATCCGCGAACCCCAACTTAGGTATACTTATATATAGCGATATATCATGTTCATTATTAATTTACGTTTCAATATCTTACTTTAGATTGGTTTAAGATGCTGTTAGTGTAAGAGTTTCTACCATCAGTATTGATTGTGGTACCTATATTATGTTATATATCCTACTTACGGTTAGGATTCTATCAAACTATATGTACACATAGATGATTATTTACTACTTTTAGAACTTTGGTAGGTACCTACTAATTTGAATCTTGGAATTGTACACCCTTTAGAGACAGTCAAAGTCTAGCAAACATTTGAACAATTAACTATGCCCAAAGAGTATCTTTGCTATGCCTCACCTCCATTTGAGTAAATATAACTTTCAAAGGAAATGATGTTCCATTATAAAATCGAGATAATACAAATGGTTTAATATTTGCTAAACTACTTGAAGTCGTGATTTTAAGCTTTTATTGAGGATTTGTGGCGAAAAAGGATAGAGTCAATACAAGTTTTTCCAGTGACACACTGAATGTAGGTATGTATCAGAAAATGTTACAATCGAATTTAGGTACCTCAATGCATTTTTGATGCTGATGCTTTACTTTTATTATTTTCCCTTTTTGCAACTTCTTTTTAATTAGGTATACCTACCTAGACAGTTACTAATGTGTTCAAAGTGTTCATCATACAAATCTGTATAAGTATTAACAAGTTAAAAAGTTATTATGCAAACATAAATTTTCCTCCTAATGTTAATGCTGGAGCCGGGAAAAAATACCGGTAGGCAAGAGATCCTTATCTCATTCTCTTTCAAATGAGTCGCCTATCGTCGAAGTCTATACAATTTAATGAAATATAGTGGAGCGTATACAAATACAAACAAATTTTGAAATAGGCGTTAGTTTTACTTTTATTCAAAGTGTCTACATATGTAACTTTTTTAAAATGCTTTTCTAAATAGCATTGCGCATTGTCTACATTAGAAATCCTTGAATACCTTTATAAATAAAACATACGGCATGCCTTAACAGTAATTTTGAAACCGGTATTAGATTTTGTTTCATTCAAGGTGCCTAGATATGATATTCCGTTTCACTCCTTTCATAAATAAGAAAATTCCTGTGCGCATGCGCATAGCTAAAATTTAAAACTGTTGGTAGATTTGCTTGTTTTCTATGTATTAAATTTCATTTAAATTTTTTTCGTAAATAAGAAAGTTGGCATTGCGCAGGCTCAAAACCAAATTTTGCAATTGGTCTTGATTTATCTTTATTCCAAATGTTTATGTATAAAATTTCATTTACCTAAATGCTTTCACAAATAAGAAAGTTGCCATTGCGCATGCGCACAACATTTAGAAAACGTCGTTAATGTTACTTATATTCGTAGTATTTACATATAAAGTTTCATTTAAATATCTTCATAAATAAAAAAAGTAAACATTGAACATGCGTTAAGCCAAATTTTTGCCACTGCGCATGCGCAAAACCACGGATGCACGGAATCCTTGGACCAAGCCCTTTCAAATGAGCCTTATATGGCCCAAATCGGTTCACTGGTGTAGAAGGAGTACGTGTGACGAACGGACTGACGGACGGACGACAAAGTGCAGTCAATAGCGATTTTTCACTTTGAGGAAAATACGCTAAAAATGTAATTTATATGTTTTGGTAAATAATAAAGTTGACAGTTCGTAGGTCTAAAATTAAGTTTTTAAAGTGGTGTTAGATTTGTTTTTATTTCAAGTGCCTATGTATCAAATTTCATTTAAATGCTTTTGTAAATAAAAACGTTGGTACTGCGCATGCGCAACACAATATTTGGAAAACATCGTTAGTTTCACTTGTATTCGTAGTGTTTACACATAAAGTTTCATTTAAATATCTTCATAAATAAAAAAGTTAGAATTTCACATGCGTTAAACTGATTTTTTGTCACTGCGCATGTGCAAAACCAAAATATTGGTACGCACGGAATCCTTACACCAAGCTCTTTTAAATCGCCCAAATCGGTTCAGTCGTGTAGTAGTTGTACGTGTGAAGGACGGACGAACGACAAAGTGCAGCCAATAGCGATTTTTCACTTTGAGGTGTAACCTTCCGCTTACGGCGCAGACAAGAAAACGACTCAAATTTAAATTTTTAAGATCACACGATTACGCACATACCACGATATAACATAGATTGAAAAAATTCCTAATATCATATCATGGCTTGTTAGTCATCATCAATGGTAGGTATAGCTGGAGAATTCAATCTTTCTGTTGAGACCGGACATTGACTGAGAAGAAATATTGTAGCAAATATTCCAGAAACTCCGATAGATATTGTGGCGCCATGAAAGATTATTAATTGGCGATAAAGAACAAAGGCGAATGTAACGCAATATTTCCGGGAAATATGATGTTTTATTCTAGAATGCTCTAGAACATTCAGGAGCACTGGAGAAAACTAGAGTTTGCTATATAAGCAAATCGAATTGCGTTTCACGACAGTTCCAATTTCAACACTGAAGTAATAAATAGTTCGCACTGTTATAAATTGTGTTTATGTATGTGAGTGATAAATGATATTTGGGTGTTATAAATCAATTCAGTTCAAGATTGTTATAAATTTACTGTTAATTAATTGTAAATAAGTAAATCACGTAATTAAATTTATGTTATAATATGTTTTAAGTATGGACCTCTATATTTTTAAAAACCTGCTTGCCAAACGTTCCCATTATTTAGGCTTTAGCGCGGCGGTCAGAGGCGCAAATTTTAGTGCTCGCTTACACTTGACTCTTGTCTTAAGCCGGCTCCGACGATACCCATCCTTGTATTCCCCTTTTCTGGCTGAATAGGGTCAGGAAATCCTGAGCAGCCCACCTTCAGTACCTATCCTCATTGTATATACATCTTCTATCCTCAGGGGTGTCGAAGGAATGAAACACGTTCACCTGATAGTAAATGCAAAATGAATGCAAACGAGCTGGGTCTTTCCTTGGCGATAGCGATGATAGGTTCTGACTAGGGTTCGGTAAACTTTTGGCAAGAGCCTGTACAAAACATTAGTATAGGTATTTATTTTTTGAATCGCACTTTTTTATCCATTCATATAAAGGAGTTGTTCTCAAGCTGTATATCTATTATATCTGGCCGTCGAGCTTTTTTGATGCATTTAACTTCGAAGCAGGTAATCGTACGCACAAAACTTTTGTTACTTAATATTTTGTTATTAAATTATAATAGTTATTTTGGTAGCTGCTTTTCATTTGTTTTCTTCGCTTCCTGTTGTAAATTTTACGTTTTTGTTTAGATTTCCACAGCTATTGCGATCGGTTCTAAACAGATTACTGTAGCTTTAATTTCAATTTAATTTCTAAGGTAGGTAATTATAACGTATTCCATATCATTGTAAAGAGAATTTCAAGCTCCTTAAGAATATTACAGACAAAAGGAACTGTTCTATTTAAAAAAATTAATTTGTTTTCTGATTCTTCTTTGTTTTTATATCACTTGATATTTGGGATATGTAGCTTTATCATATTGGAAGGAGAATATTTTTACTTCTTATACTTTTTTATCTCCAATAGTAAACAAAATATACCCTTGGACACGCAAAATCAATCACATTGTATACTAACCGACTTCACCTTCATTTTTACAGGCTGTTTCACGGAAACCTTTACCTAACAGTTTTCAGGTTTATTTATACATTAAATCTAAAAACTTGCATACCAAAATAGTTTCTCATGATCTATCGAAAGACAACACATCATGATCGGTGCACTTCCTGTTTTACCGGTTTTGGACACCAACTTTTTTTTTAATAAACACACCCTGTATTTTATCGCATTTTCGAAATTTACATGAAAATCTACGTCGTTTAATCCCACATTTCCTTATACCTAGCATCAACAGTTTTCAAGTTATTTAAAATTTTTCAAAATTTTCATCTTTTGACTGCTTTTGTTTTGAGCCCTGTCCCTATGATTCCGTTGCCTTGAATTTCAAAGTGTTCCAAAGTCAACAATACTGACTTGATGATATATGAGAATGATTTAAATTTTGATTCTACAGGGTGTTTTTAAACTAATGGTCAATCTGAATAAGCTCAAACTTTAAAAAGTTGATTTTTGCAAATAAAACATCCTTTATTAACGAGCTCCTAGCGAGTTTATAATTTTGCGGTGTCTGTCCGTCCGTTAGCACGATATTTCGATAACGAATGTACCGATTACGATAAAATTTAGTAGATGGATTCTTTATCAAATTTGTAGATCGGAGTTCGTGAATTGGCAACTTTTTTATTAATGAAGATATTTAAATGAAATTTGATACATAGCCACTTGGAATAAAATCAAATGTAGCGCTATTTTCCAAATTTGGTTTCTGTAGGATGTGCAGTGCCAACTTTCTTATTTATGGAAATGGACGCAATTAAATGAAATTTCATACATAAACACTTTAAATAAAAGCAAAACTAACATCAGGTTTGAAATTTGGTTTTGCACATGCTATAGCCATACGCAGGAGCTCGTTTTCTATATTTGTTTAGTTTATTTTTTTACACTTTCAAATGTCCAAAAAATTCTACATCAGCTAGCTAGTAGTAGTACATACTATAACTATCTGTCACGCTTTCCGTTTTATTTTAGATTTTCCAAAATTGTGACCGTTATGAGTCTACTTTTAACATTTATAAAAGATGTCATTGTACCGCTCTTGAAGACATTGTGGGGAAAACTACTGGTATCTACTTGACGGAGATTCCGGTCCGTGACGTTATCCTAGTAGATTTCCAGATATAACGCCACTGCACATCTATGTAGTGTGGGGGCATATAAAAAACCAAGTTTACTTCACAGTTCAAATCCACGGAGTCATACGTACTGGGCTGAAAAGAAAAGTAATCAAACCCTGAACGTCAAAAATTTTGAAAAATCTTGAATAACTTAAAAACCGTTGATGCATGTGGATTTGAAATGCAGGGTAGTGTTTCTATTTAAAATAATAAAGTTGCCGTCAACATCCAGTAAAACCGGAATGGAAACGATTATAATATTTTCTTTCGATAGATCGTGAAAAACTATATGCTAGTATGCAAATTTTCAGATTTATTAATGGGAGCCTGAAACAGCCTGTAGGTATAGCTAGCCTCATGCTGCGTTGAAGAAACCAAAATAGTTCATTTAGGAAATGCTAACATTTAAATACAATAACTATAAGATTAGTTACCGTATGGAGAAGTGGACTAGAAAATTCATAATCGATATTACTGATATTAGGGGCATTATTTGGCAATTTAATGTACCGAACGTATTAATGTCTTGTAGAAAAGTAGCGGTTTTTATCACCTCATACACATTTTAATTTTCATTGGAAGTTATAATGAAACATTTGCATTTGAAATTTCGTAGTTAATTTCAGCCTTTATCGAAGCTTGTCAAATTTCCATAAGGGAAAAACATGTTTATTTAGAAAATTAAAAACTAATTTAAACTAAAAAGTTTAGTCTTTGAAATTTAATTCATTTTGCGTTAGGTTTCAGAAAGCGATAAAAGTTAGTAATCATCCCCACCAAATCCGCCACTTCTGAGGATTGAAGATCCTATATAAATCTCCCATTGAAAATTTTTAAGCTAATGCATCCGTATCGTTCATGTGACAGTGAAGTCCGATACATCGGCATTTAATACGGTAAAAAAATAAAAGCAATTTCTAGTTAGTTTTTAATATGATCAAGGAGTTACTTGCTTCTTTGCTGATTTTGGGTATGTTTCTATTTAATGTTATGAAGCTTTCTGTTTCTTGTAGATATGTTAGAATAATTTCGCTTGCAACTAAACTCAGTACACGTATACATAATTACTGGGCCTTAACGATATCATATGCCATGAATTGAAATTGTGTTTTTAGTAAAACCTTGTCCATGCATATTTGACGTATATTTCAATATTTTGGGTTATTTTGAATAAATAGCTTAATATAAAATATATTAGTCTAAAAATTATTATGACAACTTTCAGTATAATTTAACACTCTGAAAAACTTAATGCAAGGTCCTCCATAAAATAGTGACAGATATAACTGATAATTATCTTAAACTTGAAAATTGTGTTATATTATTTTAACTTTTCTTTCATATTAAAAAAAAAGCGCGTGTCACTTGATATGCTTTCAAGTGGGGAAGAGGGGGGTGGGGTGGGGTCCATGATTTTTACCAGGTCGTCAGGCAACTATCGATGGCAGTCTGAATACCTAAATGTTAGAAAGTGCGCGCCTGCAATCTTGTTCCGAGCGGCCGTCTTCTTGATCAAATTTTCTATTACGTTTTTATATACCGGCGTCTGTATCTTGTCAGTAACCGTCCTAATTTTGTTTTTAATGATCCGATCCTTGCTGGAATATTGTAGAATGCTTTCTTCCAGCAGTAGTGAGCTGGCCGGGAAATTTCCAAGGGGAATTTAAAAAAAAAACATACTCCTCATTTGTGCCTAGGAAATGCGCAAGTAAATTATAAAATAACAATGCATTTTTTTGTATTTTCGGATGATATTCGGACCCCGAGCTACAACCATGAAATTAATAAAAATTGTTAGAAGGTATCCTAATTAAGCGTTTTTAACAGAAACTGAAAAAGATGATCAGTTTCAGAAAGGGCAGCTTAAATATTGCAAAAGGTGAAGACTGATGTTAATCCTTTTTGGCATGTGTCAATGAAGATCTAGAAAATGTACACAAGGCATCGGAAGATCATTTGTTAATAACGCTGCAAAATCGTATTTTATAGTGTTCGGTGATGACAACATTGGCATAGGTACACAATAAAATTGCTTTAAAAATTGGCAATGATTCAATTCCATCGATGAAGTGCAAGTGAGTACAAATCTTGGTGTGCTTATTTATTGTAAATTTACCCAACACATCGACAACCTTATTGTTTCGGCTTACCGCTTACGGTCAATTCAGGAGTCTTTACTCAAGTCGTCATACTCTTGGTAGTAAACACAAGGCTGTTCTCTGTGACTCGTTGGTTCTCTATTGCGATGTTTTGTGTGATCCATGTTTGTTAGCTATAGACCGTGACAGAATTCAGCCAGTACAGAACTCATGCTTACGTTTCGTGTTCGGTATCAGGAAATATGACAGAATTTCGCACACCTTACCTCGACTTGGTTGGTTGAATATGTTGGAGAGAAGGCGACTGCATGCTTCGTCACAGAACAGTTTTAACTCATAAAACGTAACTGTACCATAAAATCACCTTCCGGACCGATGCGCAAGACTATGGCATCACTTAAATCTTAGGCACCGGGGTTTAGCTTCCATCCCTATGCACAATTTAGCAATGTTTCAACGTTCTTTTTCATTTAACATCTGCAACTTCTGTAATAATTCGGTTTACAGACAGTTATTGCCTCTGTCCGAAGATTTTTAAACGGAAAGTTAAAAAATTATTAGAGAGCGAAATTTAACATAGTTTTTGTTTTGTTTTTGTTTTGTTTTTCTTTCCTTCCGAGTCCCGAAAACGCATTTTTTGTACGAATAAAACATAAAATTTTTTCTCCAACCCCCTGTACTTCAAATTATATTCGAATTTAGATTCAGTCACAGTTTCACTACTATAGTATAAGAACTTCTGCTTTCTTGTCCTCACGTGTCATGCCACTCTAGTTTTTAGGTTAACTTATTACCTATTCGTTCTTACTTCTTACTTCTCACCTCTCGCGACTTTGTAGGGAGCAAATCTTGAGGTAGCATGTTCTGCCGTTTCTATAATCTCTGGCGGAGTGCAATCCATGTCGCTATCAGTTTCAGTCATTTTATTGTATACACAATTAATATTGTTATATTTTGTATTGAAATAAAAAACTTACCATACAGTTTTTTAATTAAAATTAATTGCAATTAACTTTTTCAAATTTTGAATTCAAAATGACAGATAATAGTGCAATGGGTCTGAAGTGGATGGCGTTACGCGCGACGGCGGGTTGTATACGTATTAAAATTACATTCACGGAATATCTAAATTAGGTGACATATGGTTTAAATAAAAATAGCGAGCGTAAATCATTTTCAATACATGTACATACGTATAGGTAACATCATTATTTGCATTGAATATGCAAAAATATTTGATTTGTATGTATAGAAATATCTTACAACCTGCAATGTAAAACGATGTCAATGTGACATATCTCCGTGATTGTAATTTTTTAATTGGCCAATTTTCAAGGTCAATTTCTTTTTGGTACTAGGACCAAAAGTATCCACTTTTTGTACAGTTGCCATGGTGAAAGCAATTAATCCGCAAAACGTCAATTTTAGGTACCGAACACTGTCACAAAATAGCGTCTTATTCAGGTGGTTGGAGAAAAAAATATTTGTTCGTACTAAAGTATCGAACAGAAGGCTCCCGGGTACACGCCTGGTATCCTAGTCATAGTCATAATAGATCATTGTGGCACCCATTACATCGTGACTGAACTGAGTACGCATTCTAAAATAAATGAAAAAAATATAGCAAACGAGCTCCTGGGTATGGCTAGAGTATGTGCAAAACCAAATTTTAAACCTGATGTTAGTTTTGCTTTTATTTAAAGTGTATATGTATGAAATTTCATTTAATTGCTTCCATAAATAAGAAAGTTGGCACTATACATCCTACACAAAACCAAATGGCACTACATTTGCTTTTATTCCAAGTGGCTATGTATAAAATTTAATTTAAATCCCTCCATAAATGGCACTACGCATGCGCAAGACAAAATTTTGAAACTGGCGTTAAATTTGGTTTTATTCTAAGTGGTTATGTATCAAATTTCATTTAATTACCTTCATAAATAAGAAAGTTTGCAATTCGGTCTGTAAATGGTCGAGATGCGCAAAGGGCACTATGAATGATGATCAATTAGGTTCAACTTTTGGAATATTGTGTTTTATATGGCTAAAGCTATGCGCATATTGAATTTCATGCAATTCGGTTCATAACTAACGGAGATGTCAAAAGGGCCCACTTTATTTTTTGGTCTTCCTTGCCAATTCACGAACTCCGATCTACAAATATGATAAAGAATCCACCTGCAAAATTTCATCGTAATCGGTTCATTCGTTTATGAGTTATTGTGCTAACGGACGGACGGACGGACGGACGGACGGACGGACGGACAGACGGACAGACACCGTAAAATTATAAACTTGCTAAGAGGTCGTTAATAAACCGATACTAACGGACTATTGCCCTCAGAAAATTTCACCAATTTTTTATTTTTATTTACTAACATAATATTTTTAGCTTCCTAGCATGTGCTAGGTAGCTATTGCGATAGCCGTTTTTTGAATATTTCAAAATTTCATCAAATGTCGACGTTTTAGACCATTTTAAGCAACTTTTAAAGAATAAAATTTTTTTCCGTCTGTATGTACGTACGTACGTACGTACGTACGTTTGTTGGCAATTTTTTGAGAAAACGGCTCGACGGATTTTGTTGAAATTTTGTATATATGTTTTAGGCATACCGAACAGCAAATAACGGGCCGGATTTTTGAAAAGAAATTTTGGAGCGCCGTAACGGCATCGAACTTTTTTTTTCAAATAGCAACCTAAAATTTTTATTCTATTATTTGGAAGACCTTATTTTCCTGTGTACAACCTACAAAAAATTGGGCCGGGTTATATTATCAAAAAACGGAGAAAAAAATTGTCAAAGTCAAAAAATTGTGTTGCATATGTGCAAAACGCAACGATCTTGTTTCTGAAGCAATTTAAACGAAATTTCTATGGTAAGTCCCTTTAATAAAAGCAAACAAAATTCATGCGCAAAAATCGTGTTGCGCATGCGCAGAAATGCAATTTTCTTATTTATGGAACATTAGCTTCCTAGCATGTGCTAGGTAGCTATTGCGATAGCCGTTTTTTGAACATTTCAAAATTTCATCAAATGTTGACGTTTTAGATCATTTTAAGCAATTTTTAAAGAATAAATTTTTCCCGTCTGTAAGTGCGTACATATGTTGACAATTTTTGGTTTCAGCTAGGAAGCTATTCTGTCAAGAATTTGACACCTGGTTTTATTATTAAGGAGCTCCTAGCGAGTTTATAATTTTGTTGTGTCTATCCGTCCGTCCGTCCGTTAGCACGATAACTCATAAACGAATGGTCAAATTTGTAGATCGGAGTTCGTGAATTGGCAATGTAGCCCAAAAAATAAAGTAGGCCCTTTTGACATCTCCGTTAGTTATGAACCGAATTGCATGAAATTCAATATGCGCATATCTTTAGCCATATAAAACACAATTCCAAAAATTGAGCCTAATCGACCAGCATTCACAGTCTTTGCGCATCTCGACCATTTACAGACCGAATTGCAAACCTTCTTATTTATGGAAGGATTTAAATGAAATTTGATACATAGCCACTTGGAATAAAAGCAAATTTAACGCCAGTTTCAAAATTTGGTTTTGCGCATGCGCAGTGCCAACTTCCTTATTTATGGAGGCAATTAAATAAAATTTGATACATAGCCACTTGGAATAAAAGCAAATTTAACGCCAGTTTCAAAATTTGGTTTAGCGCATGCGCAGTGCCAACTTTCTTATTTATGGAGGGATTTAAATACAATTTGATACATAGCCACTTGGAATAAAAGTAAATTTAACGCCAGTTTCAAAATTTGGTTTTGTACATGCGCAGTGCCAACTTCCTTATTTATGGAAGCAATTAAATAAAATTTGATACATAGGCACTTGGAATAAAACCAAATTTTACGCCAGTTTCAAAATTTCGTTTTGCGCATGCGCAGTGCCAACTTTCTGATTTATACGGGGGATTTAAATGAAATTTGGTACATAACCACTTAGAATAAAAGCAAATTTAACGCCAGTTTCAAAATTTGGTTTTGCGCATGCGCAGCTTATTTATGGAGGCATTCAAATGAAATCAAAAATAAAGGCAAATAAAAAAATAAAAAAAATTTCATACATATACACTTTAAATAAAAGCAAATCTAACATCAGGTTTAAAATTTGGTTTTGCACATGCTATAGCCATACCCAGGAGCTCGTTTGCTATATTTGTTTAATTTATTTATTTAAGATATTTTCAATATGGAAAAGTTCAAAATTTTTGAGTTATTCAATTTTTTGGATTCGCATTCCAAATAACCTTTTTTACTATCAGGATGTAATTAGCTGGTACCTTCAAACAAGAAAAATTTTCTTTCATTATTGTCAATGAAACATTTACAGTACCTAATGAATATTACAGAAATCACTTGGCACCAGACGAATATCTTCGAGTATTCATGCACTTGTGTAAAAAAAATTCTATATTATTATTATTATTAATACCCGCGGGTATGATATGTCGTCCATTTTGTTGATTTTACGGTTATCAACCGTTCCTACAAATTGTCCACAGCGTCATTTAGCATAAAAATTGTATAGGTAAGTTGCGAGGATTACGTCGGACAACTGTAGCAGAGTTGACATAACAACATAACAAGTATACCCCTTACTTTTTGATGACTCCACATTTTGTACATTTTTTATGTAGAATTAATAATAACGAAGCTACGACGTTTTGAAGAAAAGTTCAAAATATCTAGCAAACCATGAATGTTTTGGAAAAAAACAAAAGGTGTTCTGGGAAACGCCAGTTGCAAATATTTCCCTATTTAACCTTATTCGTATTTTTTATATTTTCAGAAATCCTATCACTATTTATAAAATTCTATACAGTGTGTCTGCGATAAGCATGAACAGCACGGGAAACCATATTCGTTGTTATTTTTTTAAGGCCCTTTCTGAAAATTTATCAAAACACAAACAACGTTCAGATTTTCATTGCGACGTTGGTGAGAAACCATCATCAACTTCATACTTTTAAATGGACCGGAAACAAGTACATGCATTGAGTAACATTTTTTATTACGAATACAACTATGTTTATTGGCACAATATGATTCTTTATTATCTCATTTAAATGAACCGTCAATGAATTATTTTGACATTTTGTCAACGCCTACTACAGTAAAATTGTTTATTAAATTCAGAAAAAAGGTTTGTTATAGTTTTGTTTTAATTGCAGGTTTGGATACACCATTTTGGTAATTTTGGTCTTTCTCTAAGAAACTAAGCACAGCTAAGAAGCATAGCAATAGGGCCGCTTAATTTGAAACAGGCTGTATAGATGTTAAAGGCAAATATTTTTAGAAGCAATTTTTGTTTTGTTTTACTGATTCCGCAAATTTCAGCAGTACCGCTCATATAGTTTTTGATTTTGAGGTAGCGTCAGCAAATGCGTATAGGTTTATAGTTTAGTTTGTAATTCATTTTTTTTTGTTCTAGGTCTCGTTTGGGGTGCTGCTTTTTCGTGCATTTCATGTGGTGCCGAATGTGAAGCTTCATGTGGCACCAGACTTTTCAAAAGTTGCTGCTTCAACTATTTAAAGAAGCGTTCGGATCCGCTGACGCAATTGTCATCCGCCATGGAGCCTAGTTCGCGATTAGAAACGTGGTTAGCAAAACAGAAACACGCATTTCCAGATGAAGACAGTGACTTATTAACAATAAGAAAAAATCTGATGCTACTCGACGACAAAGAGCCATAACCCTTGCATGGTTATTCATTAATTTTTAAGGCATAGTTTTATCTTTACTATCATGATGTGTAATTAGATTTATAAAAGGGCTGGTAATAAAATAGAAAAAAAACGACTGCTGAAGAACCTGAGTTATTTGCAGTGCAATAATAAAGTATGAAGTATTTGCAAATAGACTGTAAGCACGAGTATATCAAATAACAGAACTCACAGATCATAAATATAATTGTATTATTAATTTGAAAGAAGTTTTATGTGTCAATTGAAAGTATAATAGGTAAGTCAATTGGGGGATTCGATTACTTCTTAAGCGATTTCCTTTATGATTGAATATGCAACTAACACATTTAATTAGGCCCTTGGCACATCTAATCTGCCAATTCATATACAGAGTGCGTAAATTTTAACTCTGAACATACAAATCTCCTGCATACATATAAAACTCCTGTGTTCAATTCTAAAATATACATGTCAATAAAATTCGCTTGTTGCACCAATTTTATCCGTACGACAAGAAAAAAGAAAAAAACCCTGTGCATTCCGAAGCCAGAAATGATATTAAGAGGGTCGTTGCATTCTTTAACAAACAGAAAGCTGCCGGTTAGTGGATATTTCTTTTGGAAAAGGCTACAGAGCTAGCTTCTGCTGCGAATGGCAAAACAAAATTCATAACTAAGACTATCTAATGGGCATTTCATTAATATGGTCTCAATGAAAGGAATTCATTTCTACAAATCATAGCCCTCCTCCTCGACCTCTTATCGTTATCGTGTAGGAAGAGGGTACTCACAAAGGGCGATTGAGACGTCTGTAAGAAATATATCCATTGGTGATGTCAAAACAAAAGCTATTTCGGTTTCAAAAAATGCTCTTTATCTACACAAGAGTTGTGCACAATTTATAAGTACTTGTTTTATTCACTTTCTGTGAATTCTCTAATTCAATATGAACATTTATGTGTGTTTCAAATTCCCTAGCAAAATAACGAACGGTGATGTAGGTAACTGGTTTTTCTTCTACGTAGGTACGATAAAATATTGAAATTCATTTCTACAATTAAAACGCGGCATTTCTTTTTTTGGTGTATTGTTCATTAACAATTCAAATAAACATCAACATGAAATTTTTTAATGCTTTTGTGAATTGTGTTAATTGACGGAATTTTATTATCGGGATATTTAGCAGCAAAAAGATCCTGTGATTATTCAAATACATCTGTACCATTTCCATTTTTTCAACCATTATGCGAGTCACTCTGTAATTGGGCAAAGCCTGTTAAGAGCCCCGAACAAGAGAGGACCAATAATTAAATAAATAAATAAGTAAATAAATAAAGATAATTTTTTGTATGCAACATTAGTAAATGTTTGTATAATAGGAATAATTACAATACGTTGAGGTAAGTTTATTTAAAACCTTAGCAAAAGGGGTGCTATGATGTTCATTCCTCTCTGAATATTGAACAGCCAGAGCAGCTATATAGAAATCAGATTTGCAGTATTCTGTTCTATATTATTTATAAGGAAATCCGGAACAAGCTGCAGTTAGGCATACCTTCAGCCCATTGTGTCTACCTCCTTTCCTTCGCAACCAGGTTCAGAGGCCGTTCCTTTCAATAAAGGATAGGGTCCTTTTAGCCTAAGTTTCTTCACCCTCCCCGATTCTAGATAACTGTTGCCAAGGGTATGATGTCTGTCTCTGATAAATGCGTCACAGTAACAGACCACATGCTCCATAGTTTCATCTGCCTCGCCACAGAACCTGCACGTGGGCTCTCCACAAGTTCAATGTTATCCAGGTGATAGTTGACGTTGACCATCCAGTTCCCCGTAAGGGCACCGGTCTTTTTCCTAATTTTTTTAGAAGTTTAGAAGACACAGATTTGCCAAGGAGCCCTGTTAAAAATGCCATGGACTGCCTGAGTCCGGCAGCTTTGTAACGGTCCTAGCGGTTACAGACTGACCTTAGCCTCTTCGTAACCTAAGGACCTCTAAAACTTCCCTTCTACACAACCTCCTGTTCGTCAAGACAACATGTGTATGTTGGGTTGCCTACGTTCAGGAACACAGGGAGCTGTTCTGGGCAGCTCGATATCGGAGATCCAGGTCACCACTAATTAATTAATCTAATGCTTGGTAGAATATATTAGAAAATATACAGGGTTAGTTTTTTTTTCATTTTCACTATGGGGATCTCGTAAACCGTAAAGAGATACAAAGTCGCTTATGAACAAAGAATTGCAGAATTTTCTGCTGATTAATTTTTCCATTCAAAGTTTCTTGTAGCTCTACAACTAGCAAAGTTATGGGCAAAAAACCTCGATATCGGAGATCCAGGTCACCACTAATTAATTAATCTAATGCTTGGTAGAATATATCCATAGAAAATATACAGGGTTAGTTTTTTTTTCATTTTCACTATGGGGATCTCGTAAACCGTAAAGAGATACAAAGTCGCTTATGAACAAAGAATTGCAGAATTTTCTGCTGATTAATTTTTCCATTCAAAGTTTCTTGTAGCTCTACAACTAGCAAAGTTATGGGCAAAAAACCGAAAAATGCCTTTTTAGAAAATGAGCTGGCGTTTGTTTATTTTTATAGATATCAAAAAATAGTTTTAACAAATCCTTAGTAATCGTTTCTCAGCTTTCCGATGGTGCTAAAATAAATTTCTTATAACATGTAGGATGCGAGCAAATGACATCACTTTCTTATTTCTTATAGAAACCATAGTGGATTTCTACGTCACTCGATAGAGAAAAAAATTACAAAACCTGTGATATTAAGCACTTATTATTTTATTTGGGAATCTAGCCGAAATATCGGAATGTAAGGTGACAGTTCACCGCATCGAATAGAAAAGCAATGTCGCATAACAACTTGGCTCTACTGAAAAACCCACTGCACCTTTATATTCAAAGACTGCACGCTTGATTAGATGGCAGCGATGTTTTGGGCCGATCTGATGTTTCTCTGGTTGTCTCGAATTTGTTCGCCAAACGAACTAGGGAGGAGGTAGGTTTGGAAAGGCGTAACGTTTTCACAAAGGAACAATTATTTTGATAATACAACAATTTCATCATTTAGACATCTCGTTGAATCGAATAATAAACAGATTAAGCCAAAAACAAAAATCACACATCGCCATCGCCTGCTGAAACGCCTCGTTGAAAAACCAGATAGATTTTTCACAATAAGTGCCACCTGAATAAAACAATAACACTATCTTTCTACCACTCGTAAAGGTTATTGTTATTTACGAGTACTAACTTGTTAGACAATAAAAACGAACTATGGCGATTTTAATCGGTTGTGTACCTATTTATGGGTAGGTACCTGAACACCGTCAATTTTAGTATTGAGCAACTGTCAACTTCACCCTTATTAGATTTGAATATGACCTATGGCCCAGTTATGGCGTATGAGTATTTTTGTTAAAACACATTTTTCTACAACTGTCAAAAAAACTTGTCATTTTCTGACGAATTTCGAAGCGCGAAGTACTAGATTTTTAAACGGTTAATTAATAAGTAAGGTTGTCCTTGACAACGTGCGCGAAATCGTCAACAGTGAAAAAAAGTATTTCGCGCACGTGACAAAGTTGAACTTAAACAGCAATTTTAATTAACAATCGGTTCAGTTGTAGAAAAAATATTGTATATAACGCTAGCGCGAAGTTATTTCGCGCATTTGACTGATATTTTAACTCGGCTTCGCCTCGTCAAAATATCTTCAGTCTCAATGCGCGAAATTGAACTTCGCGCTCTTGTTATATAAATAACTATTTTCTACAACTGTCAAAAAACCTGTCATTTTCTGACGAATTTTGAAGCACGAGTTTTAGATTTTTTAACGGTTAAGTAAAAAGTAAAGTTGCTCTTGGTAACATGCGCGAAAACGTGAAAACAGTGAAACAAGTCTAAATTGTGCAGATAAAGCGCATTTTTTAAAACCGAAATAGCTTTTGTTTTGACATCACCAATGGATATACAGGGTGATTCCTATAGTACCTGCCACCGTTTGGGAGCGTGTAGGTGGTGCGTAGGGGAGTATTTTGATATAGGACACTTGGGGTCGGAAATCTAAAATAAGGGTGCCAGAGCCAAATTTACCTTCTGGAATTTCGCGCCTGTGGGTAGGCAACCCAACCGGCCGGCGGTGCACACGGAGCGATCTCAGGCGGCGATGTGTGGCTGACACTTGATCAGAATTTTGTTTAAACCCACGAAATCCCGTCTGCAACGACGCGTATCAAGTGAAAAAACACTATGGCAATAGTATAATAATAGTTGGCTAGATGTAGGAAGTGCATTGAGAACAACGGTGGCCACGTTGAACACTTGTAAACGTTATTGCTTTTGACTGTCGTTTTCCCTCCTTCCCTCCCATGTCGCTTCCTCGCGCTAACTCGCTCTGCATCGCTCCGCGCGAAACGTCGGTCGGTTGGGTTTCCTACATACAGGCGTGAAATTCCAGAAGATAAATTTGGTTCTGGCGCCCTTATTTTAGATTTCCGACCCCAAGTGTCCTATATCAAAATACTCCCCTAGGCACCCCCTATACGCTCCCAAACGGTGGCAGGTACTATAGGAATCACCCTGTATTTCTTGCAGACGTCTCAATCGCCGTTTGTGAGTACCCTCTTCCGACAATCCGTTGAGGTATAAGGGAATATACCCGATCAGGTTAAGAGGTCGAGGAGGAAGGTTATGGTTTGTAGAAATTAATGCCTTTAGTTGAGACCTTTCATTTGAGTATCATGAGGGATAAAACTAGTTCACCCCCTTTCATGTAAAAGTTATGCACGTTTTACTTTCAAAAACATCTCAGGAAATAATTCGCCCCCCCCCCCCCTTCCTTAGACAATGAAATTTGATGGCCGTCTGGCACACCTTCAAGGTATAGGCTACTACTGCAAAAATTCCAGGAGTTTAGGACCATTCCCCTAGTAGTTCGAAACGGCAGAAGTGGGTCCGGACGGACGGACGGAGGGACAAAACGCAAACAATAACTTTATTTATTCTTAAAAAATGCGCTAAAAATAACTATTGTAAGAGGTTAAACCCGGTCGAAAATAAGTAAACTCTAGATTAGATAATGAAACAAAGGGATTTTAATTTCATTTATTTTAAGTGAGAACTATGAGACGTTTTTGGGACAGTATTCTACTCGTTTACGTAAAGCTCACCTTTGACATACATACTATATATCAGGTCCTCAATATATAAAAATAACAATTAACATAGGTCATTTAGTTAGTTTATCCATTGTATTTTATCTGCGGTTTACCTCTTCCATGGCTTTGTTTAATAACAAAAGGCGCTATCTTTTATCTAAGAGTTTCAGTTGATAACAACATGATTCACAACCAAATATTTGAAACCTCGCCAGTAGTTGCTGTAGCGGAAATAGTTCAACATAAGAAAAGGTGACTAACTAAAACTACCAACACTGTTTTAGAAGCCGCATTATTGATAGATGGCAATGGGCAATATATTTACAAAGTTTGTGGACGGAGCGCAAGAGGAACTGCTCTGTAGTATTTGTACCGAGTTGTTTATTAAAGCCGTCACGTTGTCCTGCTCGCATACATTCTGCAAACTGTGTATTGACCAATGGCGCAAATATGAAGCCGTATGTCCTATTTGCCGATCTCCAATCAAACACGAAAGCCCAACGATTGTTTTGGATAATTACATAGACAAGATTGTAGAGACGCGCTGCGAGAAGTATAAACACAATCGAAAGATTATCGTGGCAGAAAGAGAAGCACTAGCTAGTTCTCCACCAAACACCATTTCGAAAGCGAAAATACAATGTTCCACACCTGAACCTATACAATTTAGGTATGGTTTAGAAAGTTTAGAACAATTGTATGTTTTGGATCGGTTATGCTACCATTGTGGACTAAGCGGACATCCTTCGATTGGTTGCTCTTACAGGGAATGATCATTGATTGGTAACGATACAGTAATATAGATTTAACGAAGCTGTTAACATACAATTATAATTACTTTTGGAATTATGCTTCTATTAAATACGTAGAGTATGCGTAAATATACTGTGATAGATTTTTTAAATTAAATCTATACGTATTGCTATTGTATAAAAGTGTATTAAAAGTTTGTACCTATCGCTAATTTTATTACCATTAATTTGTGGTGTTGGTATTTTTTTATTTATTTATTTATTTTTTTCCATTTTGATTACAGTGTATAGGTAATATTGGAAACGTCAATTACACTAGCCATAAAAAAATAGAAAAATGACAAGAAATAATAAAATAAAAGCAGTATAGACACAGATCACAGATTAATGATTGATTAATCTTAATCATTTTGTGAATCACGGATGTAAAGGTGGCTGTACGGCGTTCGTTTTTCTTCAATCACCAATCCTGCATTCCACCTCTATTAAAATAATATTGTGGATAGACAAGGTATGCATAAATAATGAGGAACAATGAAAGGCGAAGATACACCTGTTGTTGGGATCCAAACTTCAAATGTAAGTATTTTTGAAATTGAGTGTCGTGAAAGTGAGAAGGTCCTCCACGGAAAAATGAATGAAGTTTCTAAAAAGAAAACTCGGTAATTGGAGCTCGCTTTGACCTTTGAATTGTTTCCAATTGTATACAGGGTGTTACATTTAAGTATGTAAAAAAAAATTGGGCGATAGAGCGGATCAAAATAAGTATTTTTTCCAAATAAACCTAGGCATTTCGTTTGGGATTGGGTGCCACCCCCAAAAAAGTGTGAAATGTGCTTTTCTTCTTTAATTTTTTACTCAGCAACCATCACCAACGAATATTTTGAACTTTCGTAAAATATCGTGAGCAAGAAAAAATTCAAGCACGTGTGGTATTCGGTAAGAAAATTTCACACCATATTGACCATCAACGAAAAAGTGACGTTTTATGTCAAAACATTATTCCATTTTTACATCAAAAAATTGGTTGCCATGAAATGTGACACGAAATCCGCATTTCATTGCTCGACAATATTGCTGGTGGAAATTTTCTGTGAGATTTGCCACCTAAAGCACATATAAAATACTGTGCCTAAAGTATGCAAGTTATACATATAGTACACAAGATTATCGATGTTTATATGAACAGTTTTTTGCCAGAGCTACTAGATTCGAGAAGGTGCCGACAACAAATAACAAGTTAAAAAATAATGGTAAACGATTTACATAAAGCGCATTTCCACTTGCAGTCATTTCCCATTTGTAAGATGCAACTTGCGCAAACCTAAATTTTAAAACTAATGTTAGATTTTCCTTTGTTCCAAGCGCCTAAGCATCAAATTTCACTTAAATGGTTCCATAGATAAAAAAGTTGGCATTGCGCATGCGCAAAATAAAATTTTGAAACTGGCGCTAGATTTTCCTTTATTCCAAGTGCCTATGTATCACACTTCATTTAAATTCTTCCATAAATAAAAAAGTTGGCACTGCGCATGCGCAAAGCCAAATTTTGAAACTGGCGTTTGATTTTCCTTTATCCCAAGTGCCTATTAATGAAATTTCGTTTAAATTCTTCCATAAATAAAAAAGTTGGCACTGCGCATGCGCAAAACCAAATTTTGAAATTGGCGTTTGATTTTCCTTTATTCGAAGTGCCTATGTATCAAATTTCGTTTAAATTCTTCCATAAATAAATAAGTTGGCACTGCGCATGCGCAAAACCAAATTTTGAACTGGCGTTTGATTTTCCTTTATTCCATGTGCCTATGTATCAAATTTCATTTAAATTCTTCCATAAATAAAAAAGTTGGCACTGCGCATGCGCAAAACCAAATTTTAAAATTGGCGTTTGATTTTCCTTTATTCGAAGTGCCTATGTATCAAATTTCGTTTAAATTCTTCCATAAATAAAAAAGTTGCCACTGCGCATGCGCAAAACCAAATTTTGAAATTGGCGTTTGATTTTCCTTTATTCCAAGTGCCTATGTATCAAATTTCATTCAAATACTTTTATAAGTAAAAAATTTTGCAATTCGGATTATAAATGGTCGAGATGCGAAAAGGGCACTGTGAATTTTGAATCGATTCGATTCAACTTTTGGCATTGCGTATTATATGGCTAAAGCTATGCCCATATTGAATTTCTTTCATGCAATTCAGTTCATAACTAACGGAAATGTAAAAGCGATCGAACATTTCTAAACAAAGTTATCGTTCACACGGACAGATAGATGGACAGACAGACAAAGGAACAGACGGACAGACCAACCGGCAGGCGACAGATAGCATTGCAAAATTATAAACGATCTCTAGGATCGTTAATAAACGGCAAAAGTGTAAAATTATGGAACATGTAAAAAACGGTTTTTTGTTTTTTTTACAATAACTTTTTTTGTAAACGGTACAGAAAAAATTCCTTCCTTGGTACAAGACTCGACACCATAACGAACCAAATAGCGAAAAAAGTAGAACAATAGCTCTTAAGATAAAGAACTAGTAGCGTCGCAAAACGAGCGGACGGACGAACGGACGGACGGACGGACAAAGTGGCCACAATAGCGCATTTTTTTTTATTTTTGTGGAAATGCGCTAAAAACGTTGTTATTCCCTGAATGTTACATTCTATTGAAGTGTACAATATTTTTTTAATTATCCGTCAATTATCGGTGGTAATAAAGCGAATAAATGGAATGCATCGAGATTCCTTTGATACTGGTTGTTGAGAAAAGACACATTTTTATAAAAAAAAATAAATAATCAATTTGTAGAGCGCTACGATATGGTGACGAAAAGTTGCCTTCAAATTTCAATAACAATAAAGTGTGTGTTCGTTAAATAAATTTTCCTGAGTCTGAATACACTATGCGTTTTAAACGCATCCTTTCAAAACGCATCCTGCGAAACCGGAAGGTTTTGTGCGTTTACATTACTTGCGGCGACCGGAACGCAACCGGATAAGTGTAAACGCTCGCATTTAAATCCAATTGGATGCAGTCATCCGTTCAAAACGGTCCGGTCAAACGGGACCGGTTAAAACGCATAGTATTCAGGCACTTATTCATTTCTTCACCTATTAATTACAGTCCATTTGAACTTTTCCTGATACTGGTCTAATAGGGTCATAAACGATCGTATTTAACAATTTAAGATTTAATGGTCATTAGGTGTATTGTACAGGTAAAGTGTAATCTGAGTTGCCTATCGTCATTGTATGGAGGGTATTGCATTTCTTCCGTCGCTATACTTTATCATTGAATAAAAAATTTTTTATTCAATGACTTTATATAAACTTTTGAGTAAAAATTGCGTTTCATTTCATAATTTGAAGCATTTAATGACCTTTTACACTTCTATCAGTTTCCGATAAGACCTCAAGTTAGAATTAATATTTGGGCTTAAAAATTACTATTATTAAGTTTCGCCTTTTATTTCAAATTTGTGTTGCCTATCCCCTATCCCTAGCCCACTTTTCGTGTCGCGTTATAATGTAAATGTAATACCAATTATTGTAAAGGCAATTAATTATACGACGTATCTTTTTTTGCCAGATTTTCTTGGTATAGATAGGTATAGGTACTTACCTTAACTCTTAATATAATAATACAAGCTACAACCACAGATTTAAACTACAACGTTGCGTGGGATAAGACATGAGTAAGAAATGTTATTAGCTACACACATAAAACACAATTCAAATTTTATTCTGTTACATTACATTGTCTACACATGAGATCGAACAAAAAATATAAGTGATATAACAATGTGTACCTATTATTGAGCTGTAGAAAATACAATATGCACTCGAGTAACGTTGCGTTTAATTAAAATTGGGGATGATGCAGTCTAATACGTTTGCCTACTAACAGCGTTACAGAAAATCGTCTTGCTACAACAGAATCGATTTAAAAATTGAGATTAGAGGTCTTAAATTAGAAAAGTGACATCTATTAACTAAATTCAACACAGTAAGCTATTTTATGTGAAATCAATAAAGAAATTTATTTAATGTAGCATGGAGGAAGGGCGCACGAAGCGGTGGCGCTTCTAGCAGGAGATGAGGGATCATTATCAAGGCTTTCAGCAGATTCCTGTTTACGGCGAGCTAATTCAACATTTGCTTCTTGAATTGCTTCCCACAGTTTAGCTTCTGACATTATTTGCCGAGATAAATCTTCCACAGCGGGCTCCCCACTTAATTCCAATAGGCTACCAATTGATTCTTCCACAGGTTCGCCGCGATTTGTTAAAGCCGGCAAATTCGATCGCTTGTGTCCGCAACCTTTTTTTCAGTAAAAACGTGAGACTGGAATTTTGCAATTGGACTGTACCTACCTGTGAATGCGTTGCAGAATGGCCTCTTCTTTGGATCTGTTATACCCGTTCGCGTTAGGGGATCAACCTACAATTTAATATGAAGTTAATTAAATCGGTAAATTGAAAATTGATTATGAAAACAGAATGCATGCCGACAACTTATATGTTCGCTTATTAAAGTGCCACGCACAAATTGTGTTCGGATTGATATTCATTAACGTATCAATTACCCACCCACGGCTTTATTTTTTGAATGACGTTCTAGACTAGCGATTCTTTCCAATATGCGTTCGTATTTACTCTAACAAAATGGCACTTAAATGAACCACGTAGCGTAGCAAATGTAGCAATAATGAACCTAAAATCGCTAGGTCTGTATGTACTATGTTTCCAGCTACTATGGAAATTATATACATTTTGTATAAACAATTTTATTGATTAATATGATTTTTTTCAACTACTCTTTTGTCTTAATAAAAACTCATATTTTACGTTTGATGTTTACTTTTATTTATTTATAGGCTTCAACCAAAAAATCGTCCTTTAGACGACACTTACTACTCGTATGTATCAAAGGCTGGTATTACATATTTGAGCTTTGCGCAATTAAAGATTTATTTCTTTTGTGATATGGAAATCCATTAGAGCCTTTGGAATAAGATGTTTTTATTTTTAAAACCTTTG